AACCTAACCCTAAACCTAACCCTAACCATTAACCTAACCCTAAACCTAACCCTAACCCTTCACCTTAACTCGAATCGGCTTGCTTTCAAAGCGCTATTTAAAGCACCCTTCTTTCTCCGTGCTCGCTGTTGTCGCCCTGTTGATGACGTCAGCGACGCGCTTTAATCGGACGTGCTTTAGTCGAGCGCGGTTTTGTCGTGCCACGACCTTCACCATCCTTAGCTCAGGACAATAGGATGTTTGAAAAATAAAGCCCAAAGCTGAGAATCATCTCACAAATATAGCATTCCGCACGGTAACTTCCGGGAGCAGAAATGCCCATCAAGTATCTTCTCAATTCAAGACCAAAGGGAACAAAAGAATATTGCTGTATTTAATACGATCTGATGTTCTTCCTTACCTGCATCCACAAGTTGTAGGTGAAATCTATTAGCAAGGGGTGCTTTTGTATAAGTAGTAACTGGGTAGTGACCATGCTCATATGCCCAGGCAATCAAATTCTCATGAGAGGAAGGCATATCAAACACAATGGTTTTACTCATAGTCATAGAGCGTTCGGTTTCTTTTCCAAAGCCAACCCCATTCGATGTCTATAAAACAGAAAATAAAAACTTTAGCCCTAGATAGGTTTGTTTCTTACAAAACTTTTTTTTTAATCGAAGGATTAAGTTAACTATCACTTCAGATCAAATTTTGCTTTCTTTCATTCATTTTGTACCATTCAATCAATGTTTTCTTGTCCACACAAGGAATTTTATCAAAAGGACCAAAAATTAGTGGGTAATGTGTAAGACAGATTCAAACAATTTCAACTGAGGAATATCCACATGGCAGAATTTCACCACTTCATGAGATTCTTCTATTGATAACCGCAACATATAAAATGGCTCTACGGGTTGATTGCATCATATAGTGCCTTTTACCATAGCAAGCAGAATGAGATCCTCTATGCCAGGGATGTCAAACCCAAAGCTCGGGGACCAGATCTGGCCCACAGGATGCTTAAATCTAGCCCGTGTGTTCGTCACTTTGCCTCTGCCAGCGAAAACAGAGCTCAGGGGGGGCCACACGCAACCTGCCCGGGTTCCGTTTTTGGCCACGACAGCCTCCTGCAGCCCTCTGCCAGCAAAAATGGAGCTTGGGGGGGGGGCACACGCAACCTGCCCGGGTTCCGTTTTTGGCCACGACAGCCTCCTGCAGCCCTCTGCCAGCGAAAATGGAGGCGGCAAGAGGCCATGCGCTCCATTTTCGCAGGCAGAGGGCTGCAGGACACAGTCGCGGTACAAAACAGAGCCTTGATGAGTGATGTCGAGCTGACCATGCCCACACTGGCCACCCCCTGAACCACCATCCCCAACCCCCTGAGATCAAACACAACCCTGATGTGGCCCTCACTGAAATCGACTTTGACACTCCTGCTCTATGCCAAGGGATAATTGAGGGGAAATGCATACTGCAACAGCTTTCTGCAACCTGATGCTCTCTAAGTATGTTTGAAGTTCAGTTCTCAGAATTTCCAGTCAGTTGGGGAAAGGAAAGGAAAGGAAAGACATCATAATGATTCTTATGGCTTCTAATTCATTACTAATGATTGGCAGGGTGTGAGATCCTCTCTCCTCTACCACCTGCTTCTATCAGGCAGCAGGATTTGAATTAAATTGTAATGGTTGATGTCAGAATGTTTGGACAAACAGAGGACCATCTGGAAAACTGAAGATCATCCCCAAGTAATCTATAAGAATATATATCTTCCACTAGGGCAAAAATATATATCTTCCACTAGGGCAATGAACACAATTAGAGCAATATATTAATGTGTGCAATAAAAATAAAACACTGTATGTACATCCAAGTTCCCTTAATGTTTTACAAAAAACTTCTGAGAATCCCCCAAACCAGGTCACTTTAGCAATATTCCATTTAAGCAATATTTGGAAAATTGTTACTCAGAAATCATACTTTGTTGAAGATAGTGGGATAAGAACAGGCAGGGTGGGATTCAGCTGGGTCGGATAGGTTTGGGTCAACCGGATGCTAATTTTACATCTGGTTTGCCGAACTGGTAGTTGCAAGGACTGGCGGCAAAGGGGGAGGGGGGGCAAAAAATGGGCCTCCCAGAAGTTCTGGAAGTCTGGAAATGGGCTCATTTCTGGCCTCCAGAGGGCCTGAGGAGTTTTCGCCATCCCGGAAGCTTGAAGAAAGCCTCCAGAGCCTGACGAGGGTGCAAAATGGGCCTTCCGAAAATCCAGAAACAAGCCCATTTCCAGCCTCCGGAGCCTGGGAGAGGCTGCTTTCGCCCTCCTAGAGGCTCAAGAAAAGCCTCCAAAGCCTGGGTATAGTGAGCCCCCCCCTGTGGTGCAGGCGGCTGAGCAGACGATAGCCACGCCCACCCAGCAACCAGACAGAGAACCAGTTGTTAAAATTTTTGAATCCCACCTATGAGAACAGGCCTCATTTGACGACAATATCCTTGGTTCAGCATGCATCAGGTTCCTAGAAATGCTTCCGGAAGATAACTGATCTATCTCTAAGCTTCTCACTGCCTTGGGTTTTCCAGTTATTGAACCCAATAGCTTAAGTTATTGTGCGTCTATTCCCATTTCTTTCTATTTCTATTCCCATTTCTATTCCTATTTATTGCTCGTCCCTTAGGAACTGGCCGTCTTTTTATTCTAGACAGCATTTTCTCAGATACTCTGTTGAGGAATCATGGTGAGCAGGATTAAAACACAGAGAGAATCCAAAGCCAGAGGCGTTATCAGACAGATATAACCTCCGTAGTGGGCTCCTTTTCCCTTTCTGACATTCCTCTTTCTCTTTTCATTTTATTACCAAACCATCGTTACTTTCTTCCAAGCAAGCCTGAGACTGCAGGTCATCCCATCCCAATTCAGGCAGTCTGCCTTTCACTTCAGTAAAAGCCCTTCAAAGTGTTATTGATTTTAAACATACATCCGAGTCTAAAGATGCAATCGCACCTCTTAGCATGGTGTGATTTTACTTAAAGCATCTTCATGCGGTGGTAAAAATCTGATTTTCTTGAGCAGCAAACCTATCACAAAAGTCCAATGTAAACAAGGATTAGGATGCCTTGGAGTCCTCTGATAGGCCTAACTGCAGTATTTCTAGCAACTGTTTTCATTTTTCCTCAAGGCCCCAAGAAGGTAGCTGTGAGAAATGAAAAGGACCGTAAAGCTACTCAAAAGGCCACAGTTTTACCCTACTTAAGAGTAGGAGACTCTAACATTATGTAATGAGATTCCAGCACCTGCCCCCAAATGCCAAATGCTGATAACTAACACTGTGTAAACTAGAGCTATTGTCAGTGAGAAATACCCCTTATTTAGCAATACTGTGTAACTGACAACTGGTGGGCATTGCTCTGTGCAATTGATGGCTTTATTGTATGCCTCTCAAAATCACATTTGTGACATGAGCAGCCATATAAATTAAACTGACAGACAGATAGAAGATAGATGATTTCATTTATGAATGCATTCTTGGGAGCAGAAGGAATCTGATAGTCACTGAATTCCTTCAGCTTTTAGAACTGTGACTGGAACAGCACAGGAACTTCGCATACATGGAATCCAGAGGTGGGTTCCTACCAGTTCGCACCTATTCGGTAGAACCAGTTTGTCAAATCTACCGAACAGGTTAGAAGAGGTTCCACCAGTGGACCCGGAAAGCAGGCCACACCTACAGAAGAGGTTCCAAATTTTTTGAAACCCACCACTGACTATCATGCTCATATTTATAAAACTCAGTGCCTCTGTGAAAGGTAAGGATGACTACTGCGTTTGTGGTGCAATCAGAACATTGCGTGTGTTGAAGTTGTTTTAACGCAAACCAAAGATGCCTTTTAAAAAACAAGTTTGCATCATATTCTTATGCATGCCAGTGCTGTGTGTGAGGTAATTTAAGGTGGATCTGACAAGTGTCATCATATCCGGTCACATGGGCGGCAAGCCACTCCCACAAAGGAGGCCACACCCACAGAGTAGGTTCGAGCAATTTTTGAAACCCACCACTGATGGGATCCTTCCCCTCCCAATTGCTCTTAATATTTAAATAATAATATTATTTAGCAACTTGATTCTTGCTGAATGAAGAGCTTGGGAAAAAAGGTTCAAAGTCAACAGGTGGTCCGAATAAGATGCAATGCATCCCTGGGGTTTATAAAGGCTTTCAGAAATGAACGTTGGTCCATCTTTCACACCAGAGGTGGGGAACAACGGCTCTTTAATGACTTGAGGACTTCAATTCCCAGAATTCCTGGCTGGCTCAGGAATTCTGGGAGTTGAAGTCTACAAGTCAAAAGAGGACCTTTGTTCCCCACCTCTGGTGTGAAAGATGGATCAACGTTCATTTCTGAAAGGCCCTCTTTTGACTTGTAGACTTCAACTCCCAGAATTCCTGAGCCAGCCAGGAATTCTGGGAGTTGAAGTCCTCAAGTCATTAAAGAGCCGTTGTTCCCCACCCCTGTGCCTGACACGGTAGTCGGCTGCTTGGTAGGTTAGGAAAAAACAAAGCGCCAACAACATTAGCAAAAGAGGGGGAGCCGTTTAGTCAGTCATCTCTTATCAGGGCTTTCCTTGTTCACAGCAAGGCACGAGATGTTAACAGACCCGTGCCTCCTCCAGACCACAAAGCAGGGCAATATCTACTTACAATGGCTTCCAACCTCCCCTGCACGTCATGGGATTTGATGACCCAGTTGACAGACTTTCTGCACTTGAGGATAAGTACAAGATTCCTGACAAGCGTGGTGTCTGGCCGAGATGGTCTGATGTCAATGATGATATCCACCTGGAAAGCGCTGGAAAAGCAAGATCTGAGTCAGCCGGCATGCCAGAAAATTTCTGCTCTCAACCTTCTTCCAATCCATCATGTTCCCAGTGTCTGGCCAGTAGATTAAAACACTGGAGGTTATCCCAGACGTCCAGCATGTGCAAAACAGACTGTTCCACCCCACTTGCTAGAACAATTTTAAATAACAATGGAAACAACATACTTTTTTACGCTAATAACACTCCTCAAAAGCTTGTCTTTCCCATTTAAAGAGTGCAAAATTTTCTCTATTTTGGTGTCAGTTCAAGAAAGCCACTTAGAGCTGGCTTTTCACATCTGCACAAAAGAGCTATCTTCTTTTGCATCTGAAGTTTTAAATGGGGATTTTTGTATCTCTGTTCCCTTTGGTACTTCGTGTGAAGCAAAAGTCACTTTGCTGTCTCTTCAAACCATAGTTTGGCAAACAGCAAAATAGATTGACGAGTTCAATCTGCTTGCTGGATTTTAGAAGCAAATTCTACATACCCAGAATAACTCAATCTTTGCAGCTTTACTTCATATTTAAAATGACACACAGATATGCTAGCTTTGCCGCCAGCGATTTTGTTGCCTGTTTTAAATCAATAGCAATTTCTTGCTCTCTAACTCCTGATTGTCAACCCCTTTACAACTTTATACTATTCTCTTTTATCCCTTGGAATACTATTTTCTGTCTCTTTATGCCAGCCTCATAAAACTATTCAATTCTTGGTGGATAATTTTCTTAACAAAAGTGTGTATGTGGCAGGGGTGAAATTCAGCAGGTTCTGACAGGTTCTTGAGAACTGGTAGTGGAAATTTTGAGTAGTTCGGAGAACCGGCAAATACCACCTCTGGCTGGCCCCAGAGTGGGATGGGAATGGGGATTTTGCAGTATCTTCCCCTGGAGTGGGGTGAATGGAGATTTTGCAGTATCCTTCCCCTGCCACGCCCACCAAGTCACGCCCACAGAACCAGTGGTAAAAAAAAATTAATTTCACCACTGGTATGTGGTCTCTATATTACCTTCTCTCATGATGTCTGATCAACTTTCTAGTTTAATTTTCAGCATTTCAGCAAAGAGGACTTTGAACAACTTTTAAACTTTTGTCCAATTATCGTGTGCTACCTGATGTTTAAGCCAGATGTCCAATCCTTTATATAGCTGACTTTTGTGCTTATTATAATTTGGCATTGAAACCATCATTTGGAGAGAAAACACCACATTTAATTTGATTTGCTTCATTAGATTTATCCCGTGTTTGAAATGTTAGGTTGAGGATGTTAGCAATAGCAATAGCAGTTAGACTTATATACCGCTTCATAGGGCTTTCAGCCCTCTCTAAGCGGTTTACAGAGTCAGCATATTGCCCCCCCATTCTGGGTCCTCATTTCACCCTCCTCGGAAGGATG